TCTGCGCTCCCCTGCGAAGGCGCCCCCTCCGCAGGCTTCGGGTCCCTCCTCTGCGCGCTGCTTCTTCGAGCTGCTGGAGCATGAATCATGACGGCGGTGCTTGTGCCGCCCGGGCGGACTCCCAAGTGCGGCGCCCATGTTGGCAGTATTTGAAGTTCAATTCTTTCCCTGCGTGACCCTTTTAAAGGCGGCGGGTGTGTGTGTGTGCGTGTGTGTGTGTGTTGCGGGGGTGTCCACAGTCGCTGCCTCCCACAAACCCAGCAGCTTTGGAGTGGGTGCAAAGGAGAGACACTGGTGGGCGGCCCCTCCCCCCGGGCCCTGTGCATCCGTTTAGGAACTGCCACATTTGGCTGCGCTGAGTGCTGGTCCCGCAGGGGGCAGACCCCCAGGGAGAAGGTGGCCCAAGGCCCCAGGCATGGCATTTCTCCCCAGTCTAGGAACCTGCCCAGCTGGCCTCCTCTGCACCTTCCAAAGGAGCGGAAGGGGTGCTGCAGTCCGGTGCTAGGCCTCATGAGAGGCCTTGGGGTGACCGTGCCCCACCACCGCAGGGAGGCCCAGAAGTGTGTCTGGTCTGGGGGCGGCTGCTTTCTTGAGTTCCTTTGTAAGGCTGCAGAGCCTCCCTGGGGGAACGGCCGCCTTAGCAGATGTCGCTGGAACTCTAGCCTCCTTGCTCACTGTTTGTCAACAGCACAGCCCACACTTGGGCCTGCCTGAGGGAGGGGTGCAGCTGGGGATGTGTCCTATGCCAGTCCTCGAAGTTCACACGCGTAGAGGAAGCGAAGAGCGGTGGCCGGCGAGTGATGGGGCAGGAGAGCCACACCCTCGTTGGCGGCCACTCGGTCCTGGGGAGCTGTGGAGACCCACACTCCACAGGGAGGCCTGGCCTCGCGGAGCCCACTGGGGCGGACAGGGCCCCACACTAAGAGGGGCACTCGGGGCTCCCCCAGTCTGGGAGGAGGACATCGTGGAGGAGGTGATGGTGCCCCTGGCCTGGCCAGGCCAGAGAAGGGTGCAAAGGCAGCTGGCCATCCCCAGGGCCCCCACAGAAGCGCACTCGCCTCTGAGCAGCACTCTGGGGGTGCGGGGCCTGGGGGGTCCATGCAGGTACTGCGCCAGACACAGCCTCCTGTGTTTATAGGCGATGGCAGCCCGGAGCTGCTCTCTGGCCGGGGTGGGAACGTGGCCCAGGCCCGTGGGGAGGGACAGCCGGCTGCATGTCATCGCAGTGCTGTGGCCTGAGCTCCTGGCCTCAGCAGGAGCACAGGAGGGGCTGCACCCGGACCTGGAGCCAAGGGTGTGAAGTGGACTGGGGGACCCTGCCCGGTGCACAGGTTGGGAGCCCTGGGCTGTGCTCTCAGTGCTGCGGAACTTGGTGCTACGGCCCCAGGGGGCGCAGCTGTTTGCAGCCAGCCAGAGGAGCCTCCTGCCCAGACAAGGAGAAGGAGGCTCCGGAGCTGCTCTAATTCTCCAGCAGCAGCATGAGCCCAGGAAGATGCCTTCCTGTGAGCAGCTGGCGTGAGCAGGAGGGGTGGCGGGGATGGTTGTTGGGAGTCTGCTGCACTGTGCGCAGGCACTCGGGCGGTATGGTGCGGAGGAAGCCGGGGCTGCAGAGGGGCAACTTTGCCTGGCTGTGCAGCCCAGAGGGGAGGGGCCGTCGCCAGGGGTGGGCTGGGCGCCTGTCTCCCGGAGTCACCTCCCCGCACACACAGGCACCACGTGCACGGTGCACCTCCATGAGCGTGCCTCTGCACGCCCACTGCCACATCTGCACACGCGTGTTCACATGCTCACCCACACAGGAGTACACACTTCTGTGTGCACAGAGACATGAACACCCATGCACACACACGGATTCAGCACTTGCACACTCACCCTGTGCGTGCACACTGCACGCTCGCATATACCTCCATGCGTTGTGCACCCACACATTTCCCTGCCGCTACACACAATGGGTGCATAGATGTCCACATGTGCTTGTTCACAAGTGTGTGAACATTAACATTCTTACACAAATGTACAACAGGCACACGTATGCAGGCATATGCACAGGTACCACGTTTGTGCGGATAATCACGAACAACTACCCACAAGCATAATCTTGTGCATGCACATCTATGAAGGTACATATACTACCCGGGTGGACGCATGGCCGTGCACACCTATGTCTCTGTGCACAGCCCACTCCCACAGGGCACACACCCCGAGCTGCAGAGCGGACTTGTGCTGCTGTGCTCGCAGCAGCCCTTCCTGAGTGGGTCCCCCTGCACCTCACTCTTGTGCAGCCCTTCAGCCCTCTCCATCTACGCTGAGGGCCACTTGCCCTTGCCTCATGTGGCCCCTGGGCATTGGCATGTGCTGTTCTATCCTGTCTCTGCCTCCTTGTCTGTCCCTGAGGCTCTCTTCCGTCCACATTGGTAGCCTGCGGCCCCTCTTCCGGGACGCCACCCTTCTCAGCCCAGCTGGGCCTTTGGCCCCTTTGCCAGCCTCCTGCGTGCTGCCCAGGCAAAGCCATCATCATGACCAGTTCTTTGGTAGTGCTTGTACCCTCCACCTGGTCCAGCAGCCATGCACGGCTCCTAGGAGGGGCTCCGTTAAAGCGTGCTGTGGGGTGGGTGGCAGGAGGGAGGGGCCTGAGCCGCCTGACCTCCAGCCTCAGCCCTGCTGGGAGCCTCTGGGTGCTGGGTGCGCCGTGGGCCCAGGAGACAGTGGTAGGGCCTCTCCCCGGCAGCTTCCTCTGCCAGCCTGGCATCCCATGCCCAGCAGGCCCTTCCGGGCTGCCTTGAAGTGGGGGGAGCCCCCTGCCCTCCTGGCACCAGTTTCCCCTGCCTTGGAGCAGAGGCCCAGGTTGGGGCCTCCAAGGTCCATGCTGGCTGCCCACCGGTGCCGTGTGTGCCCTGCCTCCTTTGCTGTCCACTGGTCACTCTGGGGTGAGGAGGACCGGCCCAGCGGAGACCCCTTGGCAGGCCTGAGCGAAGCCTGGGCAGCTCCCGGAACAGCACCAGGTGCACGAGTCTGCTGCAGCCGAGCTGAGGATCTTCCCTCGTAGGTGCTGGAAATTTCATTTTTCAACGCGAGGCAGGACAGCGTGAGGCTGGCTTCTCTCCCGCCCCTCCCCACAGGCTTCCAGAAACCTATCTGTCTGTCTAGTCAGAAGGTGGCCAGCCTGGCCCTGGGCGCACAGCCGCAGACGGAATCCATTGCATATTGATCGGGGCTGGATCTGGCGTAGCTGAGCTCCGACAGCCCGGAGGAGGACGGCTGGCCGCGGACTGGGCCAGTGGTGGATTAGAGCAGGGCTCCTCTCCTCTTGGTCCACTGTGTGCCCACCCGGTCCAGGGCCTGGCTGCCCGAGGTGTGTCCCCCTCTCGGCTGCCTGAGGCCCCAAAGCAGCCTCTCTGTCGCCCACAGCTTGCATCTGCCTACCCTGACCCGCCCTGGAAGCCAGGCCTCCCCGCAGCATCTCCATCCTAACTTTCAGTCCACAAGCAGCACAGGAGCAAGGCAGTCCCAGGAGCCTCAGCTCCTGCCCTCCTGGGCCTGGGCCTAGGCAGACGGCAGTTGTGGGCCTGCACCTGGGCTCGGCTCACTGGGTTTTACACCTGTGACCTTGGGAAGAGCCTGTCCTGGACACCCAACCTCATTGGCTCCTTGCAGGGTCCCCAGAAGAGGCTGTGGGAATGGAGTGCAGGACTCAGCCAGTGAGACCTCCCTGATGACAAGTAAGAAATGACCAAGAAGACCCATTTGCTGCCTTTCCCTTGCTGTGTGTGTACAAACGTGATACCCGGAGCTGTGGCAGCTGTCATGTGATGAGGAGGAACTGAGGAGCTGAGGAGGAGAAAAGCCACCGCGGGAAAGAGGCCACATCCCCATACATTGTTCCTTGGCCTCTTGACCCCACCCTGTGGCCACCCTTTGGCCAGGTGTCCTCCTGCTGAGAGAGGTAAGCAGTTGCAGCTTCCCTTCAGGAAGGAGGGTGCTGTAACCACAGCTCCATGTGTCCTAAGTGGTTTGCCGTCCCCAGCCCTCTTCTGCCTCCCTGGAGAGTTGCAGCCTGTGATGAGCAAGATAATCCTGCTCCGCCCTAGCGCCACAGCTGTCCACGTTCTCCACATTCTAATCCCCAGACCAGCACCTGTGTGGCCGTAGGGACCGAAGGAGCCTTGCAGACCTGGCTGAGCAGGGGTCTGGGTGGGCCTGGCATAATCGGGGTCCTCAGTGAGAGGGTGGAAGGCCGCAAGCTGCAGACCGCAGAGGGTCCAGACTGGGGAGACCCAAGGCCCTCGCTGCCCATCACCCCCCTAGGGCCGCCCGCCCCATCCGCACCTCGGTTTCTTCACCTGTGCTCTGCGATGTCCTGAACTGTTTGACTTGTTCTGAGAGCTTGAATTACTTTGGCAACATTTTAAAAAATCCCTACAGGGCTGGGGATTTAGCTCAGTGGTTCCGCTGCCTGCTTCACAAGCATAAGGTCCTGAGTTTGATCCTGGTACCAAAAAAAAAAAAAAAAAAAAATCCCTATGAAAAGAAGCAGTACTTGAGCTTCTGACCTTCGCAGGCTTCCGTAAGTCTCCTCTGACCTTTACCTGGTCATCGCCGTCAACAAACCTGGCCAACGCCAAGGGTGCGTCTGTATTCGGCTTTGCCAGGAAGGCGGTTGAGCCCGAGCCCTGCAGACCTAAGCCTTGCTTTCTGTGAGTGCCGTGCAGAGGGACAGACTTGTCCCCACTGTGGCACCTCCTGCCCTAACCCATGGGCAGCAGGATTTCCCCGACTTCCTCTGCCTCCTGTGTGTCCCAGCCCCCAGGTCCTCCCAGCAGGCAGCGCGAGGAGTAGTCCAGAACGCTTGGGTTGGAACCTGGACATCTCCAGCCCACACTCAGCAAGATCAGCCGTGTTCTCTTGAGCTTTCCCCTCCCAGAAACCCTGAGGTGAGCGCAGGCCCCAGTGTGAGTCACTGGTTCAAGCCTGAGATGTGTCCTGAGGCATGGGAGCGATGCTTCTGTACCAGGGCCCTGGAGGCAGCAGTGTGAGCAGGCAGGAGTTTCTGGGCAGGGCTGACAGGTGGCCTGGCAGGGGTGAGGACCCCGACCCTGTCTTCTTCCCTGGCCACCCAGAGGCCTGGGGTGGGAGCTGTGCCCCCACCCCGCTGTGGCGTCTCGTCCACTTGAGTCCCCACAGCGGGGTGGCACAGCTTGTGATGTGCCCAACACTGGGGGGCCCGTGAAGATGAAGATGAAGGGGACAGAGTGTTCCTGGGGTCGGCTATCCTGGGGAGCAGGTGGTGCACGGCCCAGTTGGGGTCTGAACCCAAAAAGATCGGCTACCAGGGTCCCCGGCACCCTGCCCTGGTGTGCTCTCCCCGGCCCAGGACGGGGCAAACGTGCTTCTGATGCCTGTGACATGTGCCACGCTGCCCTGCCACGCCCTGGACTCAGTTTATCCCGCGGCCAAATGCATGGGTTGGCGCCAAGGTCTCTGAGGCCCTAGGATTCTAATTAGGCAGGACGTCTTCAGGTGAGGGGGGAATCATCTGCCATTGTTATGCAGGAACGCAGGAACACAGAGAATCTGGGAAGATGGAACAAAGGATTAGGCAGATTCCATCAGGCGCGGGTGTGAGAGCGACTATTTAAAACCAGCACTTTTTGCGCCTGTCGGAATTGCCCTGGGAAACCGTGTTTGACGTGAACAAAGGCCTTGTATCGACAGGACATGTTATCGTTCAGTTTCGAGGAAAGAGCAGTAATTAGATGGCTCATTCCAGATCTTGTTTCAATTACAGCTGGAAAATCGCATGAATCCGGCAAGGAGGTAAATGCCTCCTTTTCATCAGCACGGAGATGCCCTTCTGGGTCTCAGCCAGGACAAACACAGGCCGGGCTTCGCGGCCTCTGCGCAGCGGGTGGAGTTGCCAGGGTCCCCTTGACCCAGGGAACTGCGGAGTGCTTTGGGGCTTCGTTGTCTGGTGTGGGTGCAAGGCCTGCTGGTGTCCAGGAGGGGGCGACATTCCGGGCCCTGGCCCAGGAGAGGGGCATCACGCTCTCTGCCCCGGGCCTTGACCATTGACAGGTGACCCAGTGTCTCTCACCTCCCCGAGGGGTCATCACTGGGCTGCCCTCGCTCCAACCCTGTGCCCCTGCCCTTCCCACCATGACCTTCCGGCCCACTCCCTCACCTCTGTGCTCTCGGGGTCCCCCAGCCCAGCACAAGGTGGACACACGAAACCAGCTGATGGCCTAATGAGGGAGTGGGGACATTGAATAGTCACCTCCGAGGCAGGCAGCCCTTGGGACACCCTCCCAGGACCCCGGCAGGGAGGCCAGTTGCAAGTTAGGGGTGTGAGTCACCCCCAGCTGGTGCCACCTGAGCCCAGGCAGCAGGGCCCAGCTTGCCTGGCTGGGCACCTTCTCAGGCCCCAGCAGATGAGAGAAGCCCGGCCCTCCCAGGGACAGCACCCTGCACCAGAGCTGACGTCCTCGGGGACGCCCGGCTCCCCGCTGTGCATCCTGTGGACCTGCATCGGCCTGCCCAAGCTGGCCTCTTCTCATATGGCCACGGCCATCTGGAGCCACAGCCCTGCCAGGTCCCCGTGGCTTTCCGCTGCCCTGTCACTGCCCTGCAGGTACCTGCTCTGTGCGGCCACTGCCACCCCTCCCAGGGTGCCTAGTGCCGGACACTTCCCACCATTGGACAGGGCCACCCAGAGGACCCCGGGCATGGGAACCCTGGGCTCTGGTGCCAACACTCCCCCGTGTCCCTACCTCAGTCCTCAGGTCCCTGTAGAGACAGCTGCTGTGAGAGAGGTGTGTGCCCAGGCCCTGCAGCCCCTCCCTGTGTCCTGACACGGCCATGTTAGTGGTGGTAGGAGTGCAGCGGGAGCCTTCCGCAGTGGGGGCTCATTCCAAAGGTCTGGCCTGCTAAGCAGAGCATGGTGCCACACACTTGTAGTCCTAGCACTGGGGAGGCTGAGGCAGGAGTATCACCACAAGTTTGATGCCAGCCTAGGCTACGTAGTGAGACCCTGTCTAAGAAACAAAACAAAACATGGGCCGGCCATTTAGCTCAGCGGTTCGGTGGCCTGCCTTGCAAGTGCAAGGACCCGAGTTCAATCCCCAGTACCAAAAAAAAAACCAAAGTCCTCAAAGGTCTGGCCTGCTCCTGGGGGCAGGGCGCGAGGACCTCACCATTTTAAATCCAGCTGGAATGTGGCTGAGGGGCCAGTGGCCCTGGGGCAGGCCTGGGGTGCAGGGACCTTGTCATGGCCTGGTTCCCAATCCAGCAGAGCATGGCGATGCTCCGCCCTGGCCTGGTGACCGCCAGCCGGCCACACCTGCAGCCCTCCCGTACTGAGTCCCCAGCCTTTAGGGGAGGTAGGCTGAGTGGCTGCAGGGTCTGCAAAGAGGTCAGGAGGGCTGGATATTGACTTGCAATGACCCCTCCACCAGGGCCAGTCGCAGGGGTGGGAGGGCACACACACCTGTAACATGGCTCTGGAGGGCACCTGCGTGGACGCCCACGGCCCCTGCGTGTGACACGCTGGGCTCACGTGGAAAGGAGGTAGCACGGCTCGGGCAGCGGGTCTTGGACAGCGCCTCGGACTGACCGTCAGAACAGCTTCAAAGTGCCGCTCACTAGGCGCTGGCCTCTGCCCAGTGTCCACTGCAGGCCACCGCTCGCTGTCTGGGGAGGAGTCTACGGTGCAGACAAGGTACAGGCTGTGGCAGCCGTGCCCTGGTCTCATGAAGCCATTAGGAGGGGTGTCCGTGGAGAACACTGCTCTGGCACTTGGCAGAGACAAGCATTTATCCCATTAGCAGGGCTGGGTGCCAGGGAGGTCAGGTCCTGCAATGGCTGCATCGGGGCTCCTGGGAGAGCAAGTTGTCTGGCGGGGGCCACCACGCCCAGCCTCTACCTGCACAGAGGGACCGGTCTGCAGCCTCTCTGGAGACATCTGTTGTCCCTCGGTGTGGCCACTGAGCCTCTTCTGCCCCAGGCTGCTGCGGGGCCATTTCCCAGGCCTCAGGCTCAGGCTGCCGCTGCCCCCAGTGCCTGACCCCACTGCTGCTGCGGGAGACACTTGAGCAGTAGGGGCTGTGCTTGGGAGACCAGGGGAAGCTGGGCGGCCAGAACTTCCGGGCTGCTGAGGGCCCTGTGGCCACCGTGTTCATCTGCCCCAGCAGCTCTGTAGCCTCCTGGTGTCAACAGGTGTGTCCCGGGCTTCCCCACCCGTCTGGAAGGAGGCGGGTGGAGCAGCCAGGCAGCAGTCACTCCGCGCTCTGGGCGGGGTCCCTGCCCCTGGGGGTCTCGCTGCTCCCCCTGCTGTCCAGGTGCTACAGCTTTGCCTGCTGGGGTGTGTGGAGCAGGTGTGTGTGTGTGTGTGCGCGCGCACCGGCACATGTGGGCCTGTATCTGTGTACATGTTTAAGGTGTGCGCCTGTATGTAAAGTACACTATGTTTTGTGTGTGTGTGTTATACATGCACAGGCGTAGGTATACTGTGTGTGCGTGCACATGTGATTGTGCACTGGGTGCATGCATGTGATGTGTACTATGTGCATCTGTGGTGTGAGTTTGTGCCCATGTGTTGCACACGTCTGTGTGGCTGAACCTGGAGAGACCCTGGTGGAAGTGTGCACCCTGGGGCCTTGCGGGCGAGTAAGGGAGTGGAGCCTCCTCCCCAGAGAGGAGAGGGTTGCGCAGCCCCGGGCAGATGTTTTGAAAAGTGGGTGCATTCACCGTGACTTTGGTTGGCACCTTGGGAAGTGTCTTGGTGGAGAGCTTGCAGATAGTTCCTCAGATGGCTGTTGCGCGGGTCTTCTAGAGTAGGAGTTGGCAGGCCGTGGTCCAGGCCTGGGCTTTCCGTCTCTCTTCGTAAATAAAGTTTTATTGGTACACAGCATGCGCCTTGGGGTCCTCATCACCTCGTTTCTGGCTGCTTCCCGACAGGCAGAGTAGGGCGCTCCCACCATCCCTCCCGAGCCTGGACGCTGCAGGGAATGCCCAGCCCCTGCCCTAAGCTATCTGAGGCTGTTGAAAGTCAGGGCCTCTCTACAGTCCTGCTGCAGCAGCTACAGCGGGCCCATGCCTCAGTTTCCCTGTCCAAATAGGATGTAAACCTGGCAGGATTTCACTAAATGCCTTTCAGTGGGAGGAGAATCCTGCCCCCAACCTCTGAAGCAGGAAGCCTGGGTCCTAGCACAGGCTGGCGGGTGTGTCAGAGGCCGCAGCCCCACAGAAACACGGTGGAGGCGCCTCAGAACTCCAGAGATGTTAGTAGTGCACCTTGTGATTTTAGAGGTAGAGCAGCATGACCACCATCCCCAGCACCCGGCACTGGACGTGTCCCTGGGGGATGAGCAGGGACGCAGCTGTCCTCATGCCCAGGCTCCTCTGGGGGGCCGGGTGGACACGGGCAGCTGCCATCCAGTCCCTCGGACTCCATGTCCCGCCTCCTGCAGGCTCGGGCATGGTGAATTGGTCAGGAGTCATCTGGTTTATCTGCTTTATCTGTTGTTGCCACTTATTTCTGGGCAATTTAAAACTGCTCCCCCGGACCCATCCTTCACTCGGGCTTGGGGCTCAGCCCGGGCCTCCCACACGTGCCACCGCGGGCCTCCTGAAACAGCAGCCTCTGTCCCTCCATCACCACGCACGCACCCACAGCCCCAGCCCTGCCCGGGGCTTGTCTGCCTGCCCACCCATGTGTGCTCTGGGGCCTGGTCTTTCCAGTCACGGGGGCGGGGTAGTGGGGATTGAACCCAGGACCTTCACACTGAGCTGCATCCCCAGTCATTTTTTAAAAAATACTTTATTTTGAGACAAAGTCTCACTAAGTGGCTAAGTTGCCCAGGCTGGGCTCGAGCTCACAGTCTGCCTGCTTGAGCCTCCCGGAGCGCTGGGATCACAGGCGTTCACCACCGTGCCCGGCTTCAGCGATTTATAGTTCACTGCTGTTCTTCGTTATGTCAGTGCTCAGTTGTTCCAAATTTGGACAAAAGAGCCCTTTCGGGCTGAGTCTCTGTGATCTCTCTCTGTCTGCCCCCCCCACACCCCAGCATAGCAAGATGTTCTAGTCCATTTCTGAACTGTTCCTTCCCCGGCCCTCAAGGCCGCTCCTCCCCAGAGCTCAGACTCCCGCCAGTGAGAAACTGCAGGAAACAGGGCCTGCAGCAGGCTGGGTGGAGGCCTTTCTGCAGATAGACCTGGGAGATGCTCCCAGACATTCACGCACACATGCGCACACACACACACAAGCAGATTCGTGTGGGACCCGCGTGCTTGCCACTTCCGCCACTGTCCCGGGGCTTCCTGACCCTCTGCACGCTGCGTGACTCCATCCTTCCAGCTTCACGGATGCATTCATGATCTCTCGTGAGCCCAGACTGCACCCACAGTGGCTTCTCGTGGCCCTGCCCACCCCCACACCGGCAAAAGCACACACCAGCAGCTGACTTCGTGTGGACTGCACACTCCTGCCCCTGCCATCTGGCAGGCTGCGGGTGTAGACGGAGCAGTTCCTGTACTACTTGAACCAGCTTGCATTGCGAGCCTAAGCCCCGGGCGTCCCCATGCCGTCTGCCTCGCCCCTCTCGGCATACGGGACGGGCGAACAGGAAGAGAGGTGGGAGCCCAATGCACTGCCCTAGCACCTGTGGGGCTGCAGGTGAGGCCTTGGCACGTGTGCACAGCAGGAGCAGAAGGGAAGCAGAGAAGGTGAGGAAGGGGTGGTGCCAGGCTCCCTGTGCAGCAGCTCAGCCTGCAACCCCTGGGCCCAGGAGAAGAGTCTTCACCTCCACAGGCTCCTCCCCTCCAGCTCCAACTGCTGCCACGTCCAAGCCACAGCCCCGGCAGAAGAGCTGCAGCCAGCGGGCTTAGCTGGTCCATCACCTCTGGGTGGCTAAATCATCTTGGGAGAAACAGGTCGGCTACACAGATAAGAATCCACAGAGTGTAGCCCCACCAGCACTGGATACCAGGAGGGACACACATCCATGGCTCTGCAGCAAACCATCTTCAAGCTAGAATTTGACACAAGCTCTTCATCAAGTGGCAGGATGGGGCAGACCATGTCAAAGCACAGAACACAGATGTTCACCTTCCATGCGCCTATCACTAGAAAGTTACTTAAGGATGTGCTCCAGCAAGAGCAGGGTGGCTCTAAGAGAAGGCTGTTGAAGAATCAGTAGATCCAGTTCCATGGGGAGGTAAGGCAGGGCTGGGGAGCAGTCTGGAGCAAGGATAAGGGGCCCCACTGGGACAAGCAACAGAGGCTGCTGAGAGCAATCTCCAGGAAAAGAGGGGCTTGAGAGGGACGTCATAATAGAGCAGTACCATTTCAAGGGAGAAAACCGTGGCATTAGAAAGGCACACTTCTAAGAAGACATTAAAACCCTAAACACAAGAAACATACAGAAAAGTTGGGGGTAGTTGAGTGTAGTGGGGAACACTTTTATCCCAGCTTCTTGGGAGGCTGAGGCAGGAGGCAGTTCAAGGCCAGAAAAATTTAGCTAGACTTTGTCTCAAAGTGAAAAAGTAAAAAGGGTTAGGGATGTAGCTCAAGAGAGGAGTACTTGCCTAGCATGGGTTCGACCCAATACCAGGGGGTCAATCCCTTATACATAAAAATTTTTAAAAAGATTTGGGGATAGTACTTGTGTGGGGTTTCTCTTTGTTGCTGGCTAAGTTGTAGACAAAGACTTATAGACAGGTGCAGAAAATACATCTTCTCCTGCAGTCTGAGATCACTGTTCAGCATGAGCTTGACACATGAACAAAGCAGTAGGGTGCCAAGCCATTAAGGTTGGTTCCAAGATGAGACTGTAGGTATTTAGGAAGCATGGTCTGGAGAGAATCTCAGCCTGGGGTTCCCATGTTCAGGTCATCACACGCGGAGAGTCTTTTTAAAAATGTAACAGCCTTCTTTTTAATTTAACAGCTTCTATGTTGAGAACCCAAGGTCTAGAGTTGCAGATCTATCTTCCTGTGAGTGTGTGGGTTGGGTTTGTGCAGATGTC